GTGTTTCTTCTACAAGGCATTCGATTCCCTCTAGGATTCTTCCTCACCTGGGCATTGTGCATCAACCGATAATCGTTTTGATGGTGTGCATGACAAGGATGATGCTGGTAAAGCTGGCAATAATCATGATGATTATGCCGATGATGATGATGATGATGATGATGATGATGATGATGATGATGATGATGATGATGGTGTTGATGATGATGGTAAAGATGATGGTGATGATGATGCTGCTGATGATGATGATGGTGATACTGATGATGAGAATGATGCTGATGCTGATGCTGATGATGATGATCAGGATGGTGGTGATAATGATGAAGTTGATGATGATAATGATGAGTATGGTGATGATGCTGATGATGGTGATGATGATGCAGATGATGCTGATGATACAGACGATCATGATGATGATGATGATGATGATGATCATGATGATGATGATGATGATGATGATGATGATGATGATCATGGTGATGGTGGTGATGATGATGGTGGTGATGATGATGCAGATGATGTTGATGATGATGATAATGATAGTGGTGGTGATGATGAGGATGGTGATCTTGATTATGATTGTGATGGTAGCGATATGGTAGTGATAAGAAGGGCAACTCGGATGGCGACGATGAGGGTAATGATAATGCGAGGTAGCGATTGTTGTGAGGATCCGAATCATGGTGACTACAACGATGATGGACATCGTGACGGCGCCAGCGTCATCTGTAGATAATACGCCGCGAGAGAGCGCGGGACACGATAGCATCGATTGCCCTGCTTGGTTTACAACGGCTTACGTTGCCGTGCACTCCGATGGACTGCTTCATGTACGCGGCCGCGGTCTGAAGCTCGGGGTCTACGCAGGGACCGATGCCGTGGCACGAGACGGCGGTTCCACGCACGGCGGCGGGCACGCGAAGGCCCCCATCAGGAACTTGCCCACGTCGGACACCGCGGGGGGTGCTGCCGAAGTGAGGCTTGCGGTGCCCCAGCCGGGACACCGCACCGTCTCGTGCGCGGCAGTCAACCCGTATCATACAGTCGGACTTGCTTGCAGAGGGCACGCGAGAGGACACCTCGGAAGGGTCACGTTGCCACAGAAATGCAGGAGGCATGGGTCGCAAGACACAGGACACGAGGGTACCCTTGATCTGGCAAGGTCGACCTACTAATCCGGGCCGACTGTACCGAAATGAGGCGTGCGGTGCCCCAGCCGAGACACCGAACCGTCTCGTGCGCGGCAGTCAACCCGTATCATAAGGATGCGCGGTAAGGGTGCAAGGGCCTGGGAAGGCCGTGTCGACACGTTGCGAGCGGGGCGTGGCCATCGAAGGTCACCAAGGATGGGCCGAAGGGTCAAGGATGCAGGAGTACCCCAAGGTGAAGTCGGGCGTGTCCCCCGACAGGGGGGTTTTGGGCCAAAAAGGAAGCCTTGTCCAAACATAACCAAAGAATAGTCAGACATGGTCACAAAATCGTCCTCCGACTATGTTTCACCATCTGTAAGATATTCCTCCTGCAGAGGGACAGGCCCGACGCAACCCTGAGGAAGGCTGCCCATCCCCACTGCGCGGGTGGACCGTGCGTGCGTGCGGGCCGGGCGGTGCTGCGCGCACACCTGCCGCCCCTTGGACAAGGAACAGGCCGGACCGAGTCGCCCCCATTCCGTACCCGGGCTGGGGGCCCAGCTGGTCCCAATACACGCCGGTCGGAGGAAGCAGGTAGAAACATGACGTAGGAAGGCGGATATAGTGGATTGGGTCCAGGCCCCCCCCCAGAGAATCACACAACACGGTCAAAGCATGTCGATGCTTGAAAAAGGGAAGCGCTGGAAGCAGACTGGGATCTGGGAATCCACAAATTCCTACTTTCAACGACCGGCATGTACTTGTCCCGATTGTTGTTGTCCAGATGGGTGCTGATCCGATGGCTGCCCGTTCGCTGTCCCGTTAGCCGTCCCGGTGGTCGCCCCTTCGTTCGTCCCGAGGGTCGTCCCCGTTGTTGTACCGATGGCTATGACGATAATTGTCCCGATGGTTGTCCCGATGGGTTGATCCCGTGATTGTCACGACGGTCATCCCGATAGTTGTCCTGATGATTGTCACCACGGCTGTCCCGATGATTGTCCCGATGGTTCGCCTGATGGCTGTCCCAATGGTTGTCCAGATCGTTGTCCAGATGGTTGTCCCGACGGTTGTCCCGATGGTTGCTCGATGCAGGTAGCTTGCCCGATGTGTGTCCGACGGACATATTGTCTCAATATTTGTGCTAACGGTTGTTAGGCATCTCGGAGCCAAGGATTCTGAGGATGTCTCAGGCGAAACGTGCACATCGCGGACCACGTCTTCGAACCCAGGGTTGTGAGAACGTCTCAAGCGAAACAGACTAGAGCACCTCAACTCAGGGGATCTCGCAGTAGCCCGGGTTCGCAGGGAGTCTCAGGCAGACAACGTAATGGAAATGTCTCGGGTGGAATGGGACTGGGCATTAGGTCAGGAATGTGCCCCTACAAGCGGATTTTGATTAAAAGTAATAGAAAGTTCACACACACACACACACACTATTTTTCGACAGTTTTGAATATTCATCCAGTCGATGGACATGCCCGACTTAGGCTGAGCATCTCAAATCAGAGCATCTCAGAACCCAGGGTCCCGAGGACGTCACAAAACGACACAGGCCCGGGCACCTCGTGTGAACCGCATCATCTTCAACCCGGAGTTTTGCGAGGGCCCCAGCCGCACGGTCGGAACCGGGGACTCCGAGGATGTCTTAGGCAAAGCGTACCAAGGCACGTCGCGAACCACATCTTGGAACCTAGGACTGTGAGAACGTCTCAGGCAAAACGAGCCAGCGCACACTTCAATTGAGAGCATCTCCAGGCCTGGGGTTCCGAGGATGTCTCAGGCAAAACGGGCCTGAGTACCTCGCGAACCACATCTTGGAATCCAGAGATGCGAAGACGTCTCTAGCGAAACAAGCCTGAGCACATCAAGTCAAGGCATCTCGGAGCCCGAGGTTCCGAGGATGGCGCTGTGTGGACCATGGGACGTACTCGGCTCTTTTTAGGGGAAAGCTTCCTGGGCACCTCCCCGGCACCGCCGTTGGGGTTGCGGGGGTCGCCCAAAGCTGTCCCAGGCGACCCGGGCACCAAGGCTCGGGTGCACTGCCACCCCCGCCAGCCAAGGCACGCCACGCCCTGGATGGTGCCCAAAGCAGCCCCAAAAGCCAACCGAAGTGGCCAGCGAGAACCATGCGGCTCCGAAACACACATCCACCCCGTTAAACAAACGGACCGGTCCAGACATGCTCACAATCTGGGCGCGAACTGGCCCGCGACACACCCTTCATCGGCAGAGCACCAGCCCGCATCACCAGGCACGATGAAGGCTTGTCCAGCCCTAGCGACGATAAGTGCACCCAGAGCATTGAGGAATAGAGTACTTGCCTGACAACAATACGAGCATTATCCTTCCTCCCCCTCGGCCTCAGTCATCCTGCTCTTCCTCCTCCTCCTCCTCCTCCTCCTCCTCCACCTCCTCCACCTCCTCCTCCTCCTCCCACTCCTTCTGCGCTTCGCACTCCTCAACGGTTGCTCGGAAAAGCAGGGGCGTCTCATGCAAAACTGGCTGGAACCCCTCGCACGCGGCATCTCTTTGCCAAGAATGGCGGGGACATCTCTTGCAAAACTGACTGGATCACCTCGCGGGCGGCATGTTTAAACATATCGTAGCGACGATGCCTCAAGAGAAACGGACAAGGCAACCTCAGATCACGGAAACCTCAGGAGGAAGCTTCAAGCGATATGGGCCAGACCACCTCTACCGTAGCGTCTGGGAGCCGAAAGTTGCGAGGATGTCTCAAGCGAAACGGGTCGGACCATGTCAAATATGTTCATCTCGGAACGCAGACTTGCAACAATGTCTCATGCGGAACGAACCACCTCAGCCTCTTGCCAATGTCTCGGCGCGCGGCCCCCTCGGGCGGCATCCGTTCTTACCACAAGCCCCCGGCACCCGCCTGGCGACCTGGGAACACACCAGATGCATAAACATATACATACATGTATATGCATGTCTCTGTATTACATATGTATACACATGTCGTCACATGTACATACATGCATACACACATGCATATATATGTATACATGCATGCATACATACATACATGCATACATACATACATGCATACATACATGCATATATACAGACAGACAGACAGACAGACAGACAGACAGACAGACAGACAGACAGACAGACAGACAGACAGAGAGACAGACAGACATGCATACCTACCTACCTACCTACCTACCTACCTACCTACATACATATGCACATACATAAATATGTACATAGATGCATACCTACCTACCTACATACCTACATACATACATACATACATACACACATACATACATACATACATACATACATACACACACATACATACATACATACATACATACATACATACATACATACATACATACATACATACATACATACATACATACACACATACATACATACATACATACATACATACATACATGCATGCATGCATGCGTACGTACGTACGTACCTACCTACCTACGTACGTACGTACGTACGTACGTACGTATGTACATACATACATACATACATGCATGCATGCATGCATGCATGCATACATACATACATACATACACATATATACAATGTGTAGATGCACACACACACATTTATATATATGTATATATACACATATATATATATATATGTACAGGTGCACACGTACACACTCTGGAGTGCCTCCAGACCCAGGTCGCACGGCCGCACGGGCCCCCCCCGCATCCCGCCCGACCCGCCGCACGGAGCGCTCACAGCTCCACTCGAGGGGGGGGAAGGAGGAGGAGGAGGAGGAGGAGGAGGAGGAGGAGAAGAAGGAGGAGGAGGAGGAGGAGGAAAAAACCCTCTCGGGCCGCACTTGGCAGCAGCCCGTGCAGCCCTTCGCGCCTCGGCCCACGGGCGGCCGCCGCCGCGGCCCCCGGCGGCGAGCAGGGCCTCCGCTGCGCGGAGGGCCTCGGAGGCGGCACCGGCGGCCTGCCCGCGGAGGAGGGAACTCCTCGACCGCCTCCGCCGCTTCCTCCACCGCCTCCGCCTCCTCCTCCGCCTCAGCCTCCTCCTCCACTGCTCTTCCTCCTCCTCCACTGCCTCCTCCTCCTCCTCCTCCACTGCCTCCTCCTCCTCCTCCTCCACTGCCTCCTCCTCCTCCTCCTTCTCGGCGACACTGTGGCATCCAATCTAAGGAGCCGAGAGAAGACAGATGCAAACAATGTGCCTCTCACTATCGTCAAGATCCCGATTGTGAATGCGAATATTTTCTGTGCCAGCGGCAGGCGCATATACTCTATACGTATATATATATATATATATGTATATAAGCGCCTCCTGCTCGTCCTGCTCCTCCTCCTCCCCCCCTCCTCCGCCTCCTCCTCCTCATATTCCTCCTCCGCCTCCTCCTCCTCCTCCGTCTGCTCCTCCTGCTCCTCCTCCTCCTCCTCCTCCTCCTCCTCCTCCTCCTCCTCCCCCAAGACCTTCAAGATGGGAGCGGCGTCCATCGAAGCTTCGATTCACTCGGTGGCCCTGTGCCCGGCCTGCGCCAGGCGGAGGAGCAGAACACCAGGCAGAGTGCAAGGCAGAGGGCAACGGGAACGACCGCACGGCGCGACGGTAAAGCCGCGGGCCAGGCGTTTAGAGGAAAGGCCGCGGCCCGAGGCGCACGCATCCCATTCCCGGGCGTACTTGCGCCGCCTGGGGGGGAGGAGGGCGGTCTGGCAGCAGGAGGGCGGCTGGGAGTCCAAGTGCGGATGGGCTCCCAGGTCCTTCTCCTCCTCCTCCTCCTTTTCCTCCTCCCCCTCCTCCAGCCATTTCGGCCCAGGAAGTTCTGGGCTTGCAACGGCCGTCTTCGAAGTGGCAGTCGCCGTTGCGGGTCTTTCTGGCTGGGTACGCAGGTCGAGGGACCTTTTCCCTCCAACTATCCACGACGCCTCATCGGCAGGTCCCATGGCCAAGGACGATGAGGCGGTGCTCCCAGGTCCGCGGCAGCCCTGCTGGGGCTGCCCTCACTGTGGGCGTAATCGGAACTGGGCATGCCGCGTCCGCTGCGTCTGTGGCAAGGCAGCACCCCAATCGGTCATCCAGCGCGCCAAGGAGAATGCCAAGAAGTCCAGCCCTGCAGATGGGCCTCGTCCTTCTGGCCCTCGCGGTGCATGGGCGCGCGGTCCACCGGCAGTCAAGTCAGGTGGGAACGCTTCCAAGATCGAGCAGCAGCTGGCCAACCTGGCGAAGCAGGTCGAGCAGCTCACCAAGGGCGCAGGAGCCAATGCGGGAAGTGCGCGCGCAGGCGGTGCAGGCGCTGGTGCTGCCCGCAAACCTGAGCCCAAGCCCGATGCTGAAGAAGGTGATGGGGTGGTGGACACGGAGCTCGTTGCCCTTCGTGCCAAGGCGGACGCCATGGAGGAGGCGCTCGCCATCATCAAAAAGCGTCCTGAGCTGGGCTCCTCGGCCACACAGGCCCAGATGGAGTCAGAACTGGCTGCTGTGCGCAAGTCGATCACGGAGCGCAAGCCTGCAGCCACAAGGCACACCACCCTTGGCCACAAGCTGGCCAAGCGCCAGCAGCAGCTGGCCAAGCTTGAAGAAGAGGCTGCTGAACATCTTCAGGCCATCAAGGACGCTCAGGAGGCTCAAGGACGCTCAGAAGGCCTGGACCTTGCGCAGGCTCGCGACAATATCCAGGCGGTCAAGGTCGAGATCGCAGCTTTCCAAGTGGAGCTCCGCAGCACGTTGCAGCAGGTGGCCCCGTCCCAGGAGACCGCGCCATGCACGCAGCTGTCGCCCGAGACGCTCGAGCAGGCACCGCCTGAGGTGCAGCAGCTGGTGGCTTCCCCGTCTTTCGCCAAGTGCCAGGAGCTGCTGGCGGCACAGGCGGCGCAGGCCAAGGCCAACACACCTCTCTCACCCCCAACTCCTGCGGAAGGTATCCCTGGGGGCCCAGGAGTTCCAAGGCGAGAACCAGGGGGTGATTCTATTCCAGTTCCAGGGGATGACGAAATTGACGTCGAGCTGGACGATCTTGATTCTGAGGACATCTCGAAGATCCTGGCAGCCGCTAGGAAGGATGGCGAGGAGCATTCAGAAGAGTTTACAGCACTTCTGCGCACAATGGGGGTCAAGGCCAAGAAACAACAGTGTGGGTGACACTATGTTCGGCATTCCTGGTCCTCTGCTTTCGGGGATCCCGCTCTCTGCATCAGGTCGGCCAGTGCCAGCCCTGCGAGGGCCCCCAAGCGCGCGCAGAAAAGGTCGTTTTCTTTACCGAGTCTTTCAACGGTTCGTGCTGGAAGACACTTCGACGCCGTCTCGCGGAGACGGATGCAGTTGCACTCTGTGCTCAGGAGCTGGGCATCAGCGAAGAGTTTCTAGGGCAGGCCACCAGCACGGCGCGTGGTCTTGGCTGGCACGCTCTCCTCCTCCCTGCTCGACTCAACCCTGAGACTGGAAAGTTATCTAGTGGAGTCGGCGTTTTCGCTCGTTTGGCGGTGGGGCTTAGGTGGCCCACTGAAAGGGGAGGTGATGGATGTATCGTGGCCCATCGAGCTATCAAGGTCCTCTTGGATTTCCCTGGATGGCCCACGGTGTCGCTCTACTCGGTTTACCTACGCTCGGCGGAAGGCCTCAGCGAGGCCAACCTCAACATCCTGAAGGCCCTTGGAAGGTCTGTCTTGGACTCGGAGAACGCCATCATCGGAGGGGATTGGAATCTATCGCCACAAGTTCTTGAGGAGGCTGGCTTTCCTCGTCGATTATGCATGGTTCTCGTCGCTCCTACGATGCCCACGTGCAGGTCCCCAGCCTCCAGCAGCACTATTGTTGTTTTTCCTTGCTGGGCCCTGGGATGGCTCGACTGATTGAGGGTGTCGCAGTCGACACCAAGTGGGAGGTCAAGCCGCACCGCCCAGTACGTTTGAAGATCAAAGCAGAGGCACTCTCCCTCAGGCAGCTCATCTATCGACCTCATCAGAAGCTTCCTCATGACCCTCCATATGGTCCCACACCACGTCCTGCAGAGTGGCGAGGTGCACTAGCACACGCTGCTCAAGCTGTTGCTCACGCATCGCTCTCCTCGGCCTGCCGCGCTTAGAAAGTGCTGTCAAAGGCTTGGGGTCACATCGTTGACGTTGCCGAAGTGGAGCTATGCAGTACTCTGGGAGTTGAACCACGGGAACTAGGAGAGAGGAGCAGGACTATCAAGGCATCTTGGGCTTCAGTTTTTCATCGGCCGAAGGGCCCAGATGTGAGGCCCCAGGTCATTTCAGGCTGGAAGTGGCTGTTTAACGCGTTCGCTGAGTTTTTCACGGTGATCCAGTCGGACGACCTAGATGAGCGCATGTGCCTCCGCCTCCAGGTAGCCTTGCAGCACGGATGTGCGGGAGAAGGTCAGCGTGCCAGGCTTGATGCTTCCTTGCGAGTCATGCGTGAGATTGCTCTCTTCTGGCGCCCCGACCCCTCGGCCCATCAGTCATGGCGCGAGCGGTCGCAACAATTCCTGCAAGATATTCAGGGAGAGCGGGTGGCAAGGGAATCTTGGGACACCTGGACCACTCACGCCCTACAAGGCTCCGCTAGGCCCATGCACAGGGTCACCAGAGCTCAGAAGGTGCGGGCCCCCACGGTTGTGCAAAGCTCCCCCGGCATATTCACTTCGGACCCGAATAGCCCCCTCATGGACGAGACGGAAAGTTAGGCGAATACTGGAATGCTAGCCTAGATCCGCCAACAGCTTGGGTCCCAAATCGTGAGTGTTTCCCGCGAGCTACACCGACGGAGCTCTGTGTTGCGGCGAGGTCCTTCAGCCGGCACACCTCCCAGTCGCTGGACGGCTTCCACCCGCGCCACTTGGCCAGCCTCAGCGACATGGGGCTGGAGGTCCTGGCGCTACTCTTTGAGGCGGTGGAGCGTATAGGAATTTGTCTGTCCCAATTGCTGTGGATGCTGATGCCCCTCTTGGAGAAGCCGAAAGGGGGGTTTACGGCCCATCCTGCTCCCGGGGTCGCCAGTGCGCCTGTGGGAGAGGCTCCGACGGGGCCGGGCGGATGAGTTCTTGGAGCGGGCCCAACGGCCTTACTGGTCTTTCGGAAATGGAACGAGTTCGGAGGTTGCCATCTGGAAACAAAGCGCTCTCGCAGAACAGGCTTCTTCGACTGGGAAGGCTACTGCAGGTTTCATTTGGGATGGGATGAAATACTATGAGTCGTTTGTTCTAGCTTGGCTCCGAGATCGAGCCGTCTACTGGGGCATCCCCATGGTCCTCATCAAGACCCTCTACAATCTATGGCGAGGTCCCCGCATACTCCGATTGGGCCCCAACTGCTCCCCTCTGGTGCTCTTTGCAGGCTCAGGCCTTCCTGCGGGATACATGTTTAACGGCGTCTTCGTTAAAGCATATGCTATGTACGATGTCGACCAGTTCTCCCTCCGAAATCCGCAGGTATCGTTAGGCTCCTACATAGATGATGACACGGTAGTCGCGCATAGAGACGAGGACGAGAGTGGCGAACCCAACCAAGGCAGGCCACGACCTGAAAACGATTTTTTCGGAACGGCTGAATGTCCACCTAGCGGAGGACAAGGCCGTGACCTTCGCATCTTCGCAGAGACTGGCGACAAGGCTCTCCAGGAGGCTGCGAGTGGCATGTCCGTCGGTGGCCGCGAATGCAGTAGTATCTCTCGGGACAGATTTAGCGCCAGGCCAGAGGAGAGGACGCAAAGGAGGACTACACAAGCGGCGCCAACGATTACGAGCTATGCGTAAGAGGCACCGTTTTTTGTCGTTCTACCGCAAACGACTGCCACGGGACATGTCCAGAATGTCTAAGACTTATGTTGCTGGAGTTCGTCCTGCAGCTGGCTACGGAGCCATGATTCTCGGTTTTGCGGATGGCGAACTACGGGCACTCCAGAGTACTTCACTGGCGGGGCGCAGCCCAGCACACAAAGGTGCCTCCCTCACTGCTAAATTGGTGTTGCATGGTGACCCA